ATTAGGTCCAGGGTACCAATAGGGAGGAGAGCAAGGACAACTGCCCCAGCCGTTGTTGCCACCACTCCAGGGCTGCCATCCGTATCCCCAGGTGTTACCGCTTTGAGGACCGGTTGGGGACCAACCAAATCCAGAGTTCCATCTGTTATTCTGTGCCCATGGTGGTTGATTGCCGCCGTACCAAGTTTGTTGGTTTGCACCGTATGGTGGTTGATGGGGGGCGCTCCAGGATTGCTGGCCGCTGCCGGCAGTCCATGGTTGTTGCTGGACACCACCTCCTCCGCTCCATGGTTGTTGTGGGTTGTTGCCACTGGCAGCCCAGGGCTGATTGTTGCCCCATGGTGGATGCTGGTTGCCACCGGCGTTCCATGATGGTGGTTGACTGCCAGGCCACTGAAAAGTGTTCTTCTGTTGCTCCCACGGTTGCGGGTGGCTTTGTCGCTTTACTCGTACCTTCCGTGCACCTGGCTCTTCGTCCTGGAATAATAAAAATTGGAAGTATAAAAAAATGAGGTGGTAGCTCATCACCCATCGGCAGATCAAGGTGGTAATAGCTTTAAGATCAGGATGGTAGCTCATTTAAAGGAAGCGATTCGCAGGCAACATTTTGCGCCTTGTTTTGTTTTTGACTGTACAAAGTTCAGGTTGCTGTAGTTGAATTTTTTTATTGGTCATTGTTTTCGTCACACCTGTTTGAATTTGCTTCATTAGATCTGAATTTCGAGTCTTTTCTGAGTTTATTACATTTTCTGAGATCCTTTTTTCAACCTAGGATCCGCTCGTTTCTTCCCCATCTTCCTCCCAAATTCCTTATTATGCCAAAGCTCTCCCATAAGAAAGTGAGGGAAAGCAAATACTTATAGACGAAATGAAAGATTAGCAATTTTCGGGAACGAATACGACTGAACTTGTTGCCAAAAACTTTGTATTTCTCTCATGTGAGAGGTAAAATTTTAGAAAATATCCTGAGCGGTAGAACATTAACAACAGCAATCGTCAACTGGCAGGTTGACAAGTCCATTTTCCAGGACTGCTGAGAAACAGGTCAGTGAGGATGGTTTTAACTTTCTGTCTGTTGGTAAAAACCAACCAGAACT